AGCAGGAGAGGGGAGGGGGCAGAGGGAAGGGGGAGGGGCGGGGAAGCCAGGAGGCGGGGGAGAGAAGGAGGGAGGAGGGAGCATGGGGCCACGCCCCCTCCTCTGATTGGCCCGCAGAGAAAAGACATTCTCCTCCTCCCCCTACTTCCTTCCCTGCGCCTCCTCTTTGGCCTCCTTCGGCTCCTCCCCTCCCGGCGCCCTGTCAATCAGAGTTCAGAGGTGGGCCGGCAAGGAGGCCGAGCTCATTCCAAGTCTCCAGTCCTTAAAGGTGCAATAGTAGCGTCCTTCTGGCTCCCTTTCCACTTCCCCTGCCTGGCTGGCTCACTTAGCTTGCGTCCTTGAGGAAAACGTGGTTCTACTTAAATGAAAAATTAACAGGGAAGAGCATAGTCTGTCTGTGTGGATCCCATGCCCAACCTCAATTTTTTTTTTTTTTTTTTTTTTTGCTGTGACATTGCCATCGATAACTTGATTGTCTTCAGCCCTCAGGCCTCAGGGAAACCGGAGGGCAAAAGTTTGTCAGCAAGAAATAGTGGCAAACACAACCCAGCTGTTAATATAATTAATAACGGTCTCTACTACATGGCCTATGTGATGGTAGGTGATATTTTAGAAGGATCAATGTTATCATAGTAGAGTGAAAAGAATACCAAATTGTGAAAAAGCACCAGATTCTGTCATTTTGTGGCATGAAAATGAAATGATGGACTATGAAACCAGATAAAGCTGAAGAAAAAGAGATTAATAGATAAGTTCACCAAATGAAATTAATTCAACATTTCTCTTCCCCTGGGGGAGAATTAGTTATTTGGCTTAAATACTTAATAAAGAACTACATTATCACAGACTGGCTCTAGTTTTCAATATATTGTAATAAGCATTATTATCTGGGAGAAGTGAACTGACGTTTATTGAATGCCTACTATGCACAAAGTAATTTACATGAGTTATTTTATTTAATCCCCCAAGACATCTTTGGGAATAACAGATGATTATTTTCATTTTACAGAGAGGAAACTCAGAAAGGTTAAAGAACTTGTCCAAAGCCCACAGTTATTAAGGGTCAAGCCTGGAATTCAAGTCCAATGGTGGCTCCCTCCAAAGGCCCGGTGTTTCAACTGTACAGTTGGCCTCAAACCTGGACAGAAAAGTGTGTACAGTGTAAAAAATTAGTCATGTGTGCATTGCCTGTCTGTAAGGTTTTTATTTAAAAAAATTTGTTTTGCCTGCCTGTAATTTAAAAGCACATTTAAAGAAACTTGACTCCAACAAGATGCCTGAAATAAATAAATAAATGATAAAATAATAAAATGGAATCAGGCAGAAAGCCAGTAGGAAACTCTCAGCAAAAGCCCAATACTGCAGCTCCAGATGAGGCCTAAATTTGCCTCCGATCTTTTCATCAGGCAAGGCAGGAGGATTCCTCCATCTGACCCGGTAACAGTCCCAACGCCCACGAGATAGAATAACAGGCTAGTCACTCTGGAAATGGCCAACATACTTTGGACTATAAAAGAAATATTCTCCTGTGTAGCCAGTACTCTTCCCGGATGTCAGAGTAACCAAAGGAATTGCAAGGGTCCCCTGTAACCTCAGTGGAACCGATCTGCAAAATGGAAGGCAGCCCTCCTAGGGATTTAGAGCTCTGCAGATAAACTGTTACTCTTTTCATCAATTAGTATGCAAAAGTTTGGCAAGACAAGGGCACTTAGGAAAGCATTTCAAAGCAGTTCTTAACAGGCTACTTGGCACTTATTAGTAGGAGCACATCAACAGGGAGTATTAATTGTAATTACAATGTCATATTACTTAATAACAATTGTTTTATTCACATACATACCCTGACTTATAAACAGCTTTTTAAATCAACCCTAATCAAAAGTTGAGCGCAAAACTATTCTCAAGTCGTATATCAATCACAGACAATGTGAGGTAGCATGTCCCTTACATTTTAAGGATGAAGTCAACACAGGGTCTCTAAGAAATCAGTTTGTGAGCAATTAGCTCTGAGTGAAGAATCTAATTAAAAGCTTACCAGGGCAAAGTATTGGAAAGGGTATCATCAATACGCGAAGATCATTGTCCTCTAGAAATATTGTAATAGAAAATAAGTGTGCACAACATTATTACTAAGAATAGTTTTTCTTTTTTTTTCTTTTTGCAATATGGGGTTTGAACTCAGTCTTCTCATTGAGCTGCATCTGTATACTTTATTAAATGTTTAAACTCTTTGTTAAGAACCTCACTAAATGGCTAAATTGCCTATGTTGGGCTTAAACTTGCAAGCCTTCTGCTTCAGCCTGCCAGAGTGCAGAGATTATAGGTGTGCACCACCACATCTGGCTAGCGATAGCTAATATATATTTAGTGCATACTGTGGTGAGGCATTCTATTCAAGGTGGATCTTTTTGGTTTGGTTGTATTTCTTTTGTTTGTTTTGTTTTTGGAGACAGGTTTAGACTATAAAGCCCAGTCTCCTGCCTCAGTTTCCAAAGTACTAGGATTATAGGGAGGCACAACCACACCCAGCTATATTTTAATTTAATCACTGTAATAGTCTAATTTCAATTTGTTTGCTTTTAACTATTACTCTATAGTATTTCCCAAAGATATTTCAGTGTCAAATAAATGCTATAGAAGTGATGTCATGCCCTAAACATCCTATAGGAGATGAGACTTTGTTTCCATTTTTTCATTTTCTCATATTAATTCCATTCCCCTCTTTCTTTTCCCCTACCCGTCCCACTTCCCCCTCCCCTTTGCCCCTTTTCTTTCTATTTCACATTATCTATTATACCTTTTAGTCCTTATTTACACTTTCAGTTTCTCACACTAGAGAAACTATTTGATATTTACACGTGTGTCCTATTTAGTTCACTTAAGAGTATCGTCTCAATGTGCATCCATTTAGCAATAAATGTCTCTAACTTCTCGTTTTTGATGGCTGAATAGTACTCCATTTTATTTAAAAAAACCACATTTTCTTGATCCAGTCTCCAGTTGATGGGCATTTGGGCTGTTTCCAAGTTTTAGCTATTACAAACAAAAGTGCTAAAGTCTTTGTAAATAGGAGGGATGGAGGGGTTGAAGGGAGGGTAGGGGAAGGGGGAAAAATAAGAACCAAGAGAGAATGTAAAGGTGCATATCTCCAATGATGAATGTCATTATGCTGTACACCTAAAATGTACCAATAAAAGGATATACAAAAATAAATAAATAAATGAATAAAAAAGAGATGAGAAAATGTGCAATCTAATTAGAGTTGAGAGAAGTAGGCTTTGAGGTGGGTCTAAGGACCATTTGGAACTAGAAGACAGGGTTAATGAATTTGACAGAAGTTCAGCAGGTCAGGCTTTCCCTTTGGGCACACTAGAGTTCTACTAGAAAGATGTGACTGGGTGGACTCTGAATAGCTCTACTGATATTAAGGAAACCGAGGAGGTACTAGGTTATTCATTTGTTTTAAACAGAGAAACAAAGCAATATGTTTCAGGATGAGTTGTCTAGTTGCCCAACCCAATGGACAACAATTATCTGGTAGCCCAAATCAGGTAAGAAGGGAAAATAAATCAGGAAGGTGGCAATTGAAATGGAAAAGGAGAAGAACACTTTCAAGTTGGAGCAACCAAAAATTGATAATTGATTTTATGTGAGTGGGAGGGACAAAGAGAATCCTTTCAAGCTTGGCTGAGAATGAAGCACAGGTATTAATATAATACTAAGTATAGCTATTGATACAATTTACTGATTGTATTTCAGCACTTGTGCCTAACCATCTAATTTTAACAATTTAACATCTAATTTTGAAAATATCTTATTTGTAAGGGAAGAAACCAAGGCACTTAGAAATTGAACTACTAGACAAAGTACAACGTTGACTCACTCAAACAGCTAGGATACACCCTGAGAAATGCATCAGGAGGTAGTTTCTTGACTATGTCGTTGTTGAGAGCACGTACACAAACTGAAACAGCTATGCAGTCCCAGGGCAATACAACCTTGTGGGACTGCCACAGTATATGTGGTCCATTGTTGACTACATTGCCCTCTGCATATGATTGTATAGTATAAACACTCGTATTCTTAATGCCTTACATAGAATAAAGGAAGTCAAAGGCAGAAACTATCAAAGGTGAAATAGAATAAAAATTAAGATCTTCTCTTATTTGCATGAAGAAACTGACAGTCAGCCATGGTGATGCACACCTATAATCCCAGAATTGTTGGAGGCTGAAGAAAGGAGGATTCAAATTTGGAGCCCAGGCCAAGGAACTTAGCAACTTAGTTAGATCTGTCTTAAAATAAAAAATAAAAAAGGGCTGAGGATGTAGCTCAGTGTGAAAGTCCTAGGTTCAATTCCCAGAACCCCAAACAAACAGGCAAACAAACAAAAAACTTATAAAAATAGATTATGAGGAGAAACTTCTACACACAATTTCCATAATTTATGGGTTGTGATAAAGGATGGATAGTGCTTTTTTGTACCTTCCATAACTCAGAAGTACTTTAATTATAATAGGTGATTTACAAATATGTGTTGAAAGAATCAATGATGCTAATAATGATGCTATATGTCTTCAGACTAATAACTGAAGCCCATTGAATTGTGTCTTAAGAATGAGTCATTATCAAAATTTAGCAAAGTAGTTCTCAGACTGACCTTATTCTAACATATCCATGGTCATCTTACCATGTATACCTCTATGACAAGATTTGCTTATCCTGAAGATCTCCTTCAAATTTCACTAGGAGCCCACTGGAATATATTCTCATCTTCCATAAGGAACAAAGTGAGGAGTTCCAGGAATGTGAGCAAAGACTCCAGTATCTTCTCTAGCAAACAAGATGGTAACAAAGAGATAGGTTCCTTGGCATGGTTTCAGAAATAAGTTCA